CTCCCAACTTATACCCTGAGCATGATGCACTAAGGTATGGAATGTCCCTTTGGTCAGGTTGGGTCACCTGTCCCAGCTGTGTCTCCTCCCAATCTCCCATTCACTCCCAACTCCCTTCCCAGTGTGGCAGTGAGGAAAGCAGCAAAGGCCTTGGCTCTGTGTGAGCTCTGCTCAGCAACAACAAACACATCTCTGCATTATCACCCTGTGCCCTGCACAAATCCTAAACACAGCCCCATGCTAGTCACTGGGAAGAAAGTTAACTCCACTTCAGCCCAAACCAGCACATCTAGGAGGAAGAAGGAAGAAGAGGAAGATGTTTGGAGTGATGGTGTTTGCCTTCCCAAGGAACTGTTACATGTGATGGTCCCTGCTCTCCTGGAGGTGCTGAACACCTCCTGCCCGTGGGAAACAGGGAATTAATTCCTTGTTCTGCTTTGCCTATTAAACTGTCTTTACCTCAACCCAATAGTTCTGTAGCTGTTACCCTTCTGATTCTCTCCCCCATCCTCCCAGCTGGGGCTATGTGGGGCTTGGCTGCTGCCTCGGTTAAACCACAAGCAGCTATTACTGAAAAATCAACATCTGCATACAAAACATTTCATGTTCAACTACACTGGGCCCATTTATTTATCCCAAATCCTTTTTCTCATCACGACTTTTGGTACAAACCCTTGGCACAGCACACAAAGAGCTGTTAGCACTTTCAATGTTACCACTTCGAGTTGCCAAAGTCAAAAAGAAGACAAAATAACCTGGTTTGTATTTATTTTCCATTTCACTGGCATGACACTGCTGCTGTTGTAATTTTTGGTGCTTCTGCTTTTCCCATGCTACATCATCCATTTAGTTCTTTGAAGTCCTTTGTGTGTGAGTGATTTCCACATGGGAGGGTAACCAAACCCAGGAGTGATGGTTGGGGAAGGGGGAAAAATACCCAAACCTCCACTGTGGTAGATGATTCCATCTTCAAACACCACCAGGTTGTCAGCAAAGGCTACTAATAGAGTCACATTCTGGAAGATGCTTGTTTGCAGCAGATGAGAAGTCCAAATGTCAACAAAATTAAGGTCAGGATTTCGCCAGCTTAAGAGTTCTCTGAAGCTCCTGAAGCTGCATGTTGCCCTGAGTGATCATCATCCTGATGGCATCCTGCAGAACAAAATGGGATCTGCTGAGCTGCACAGCCATACTGAGCTGGTTGGAAACCAGCTGAATAAATGAACTCATTTCCTCCACTTCCTTAATGATGTGCTTAGTTGTGGCTTTGCTTAGAAACTCCATTTTTAAGTGGATTCAAACCCCTAATTATGTTTTCTTTATGCCTCTGCAAGTCAGCAGGGACAACTGGACAGGGGCATTGTGGAGACAGAGGTTTCACACAGCACATGGATCTTTCTCTCAATGTTTTCTAAGTACTCTAAGGCTTTGGCTGCTGAGCCCTGGCTAGAAAAAGGAACAAGCCAGAAAGCAGAGGACCAGAGATGGTCAAGCAATGTGAATATTTTTGCATTTCATACTTGCTTTATATACTAAGCCATCCCATTTGGTTGTACTCTGCTTGAATTGAGTTGAAATCAAAGACTGAAAATAAAAGCTAAACTATTAGTAAGTTTATACTAGTTACTGCATTATTCAGCTTGGAGAAGAGAAGGTTGTGTGGAGAGCTCAGAGCACCTTGCAGGAGCTGAAGGGGCTCCAGGGAAGCTGCAGAGGGATCTGTGTTAGGAGCTGCAGGGACAGCACAAGGGGCAATGGGCACAAATTGA